GGGGGACTGGGATAGGGTGGGGAACTGGGAGGGGCTGGGGTGGCACTGGGAGAGGATACTGGGAGGAGGTATGGAGCACTGGTGAGGCCCTGGTGGAGTACTGGGAGGGGGGACTGGAATAGGGTGGGGAGGGTCGCTGGTGGGGCACGGGGAGGGGCTGAAGAGCACGGGTGGGGTACTGGGCTAGGATGGAGAGAGGTACTGGGAGGGGCTGGGGAGTCACTGGGAGGACTGGGCAGGTGGGTGCAGAGGTACTGGGAGGGGCAGTGGAGGGGTGACGGTGAGGGGTGGGTGCTGGGAGTGGGGACTGGGCCGTGGGGGCACTGGGCAGGGGCGGGGGTGAACGCTGGGCCCTGGGAGGAGGCACTGGTCGGGGGTGCGGTGGGAGGTGGGTGGGCTGGGGCTTGGTGGGACTGGGGAAGGGAGGTGGGATGGGAATGTGCAGAGCAAGCTACTGGGATACTGGTGGGACTGGGCAGGATTGAGGGCTGGGGCGCTGAGGAGGACTGGGGAGGGGAGCTGGGATTGGTGGGGGATGCTCCTGCAACTGGGGGGTACTGGGAGAGGTCTGGGGGATGCTGCTGCAGGGGGAAGGTGGGTGGGCAGGTGTTTTGAGGGGGCTGGGGATGCCTTAGAGAAGGGGGGGTCTGAGTTGTGAGGAGGTGCTAGGAACCACAGGGCGTTTGAGAGTGGGGTGGGGAGCACCAAAAGGGTGTTTGCTCCCCAAGATGGAAAGAAATTACCTGCCCCTACCACATGCTGTTAGGGCTGGGGGTTTCTAAAGCTGAGGTGCTGCTTTCCCTTTACCATCCATGTTCGGCCGCTCTGTTTAGTTTCCTGATGCTCTGGCAGCTGAGCCACTCAGCCTATTGTGTGGCTACTTGAGAGGCTTTGCAGGTGAAACGGGTGCAAATAAGAGGTGGTGGCACCAGCTGGACTGTAAGCCAGGTTAAACCAGGGATCACTTTAGAGGTTTAGGGGTTCGATACTGGATTTTTCAGTGTTAGGGAGCGTGGATTAATACTGAGGCCTTAAACCTGCCACCTTCCTGTTTACACCTATGTGAAATCAGTGGTGGGTAGCTACTCAGGCTGTTGTTGGAGTCATGCATGGGGCAAAGCAGGTGTCGGTCAGATGCAGGATCCAATTTTCTGTGTGGTTTTGGGCTGAAGAGGCTTATCTTCCTGGTTATGATGATTCCTTAGTCTTTTAATTTAATATATTTTTGGTTCAGTCTACATTTAAATGTCAAGCCAGTGCTTATAGCATTAAGCACTGCCAGAGCTTCTGGAGAAACTCCTCTGTTTCATCTCTTCTTGTTTGCTGGGGTTGGAACAGGAGCCTTTTGCTGTCAGCTTGAACACCTCTTATCTGTTTCCACCTTAGCAAGTGCTGGACACAGAGCGATAGTAAGGAGGGGCAATCTGATGTAGATTTTCTCCTACAAATACAAGAATGTTCATGATGTTGTTGTAATTTATCTTGGCTCTCTTCAATTTAGATTTGTGCACAAGCAGCTAACATTTTCTTGAGTTATTTAAAATATTGCTATTTGTATATCTGGACTATTTTGGTTTTGGCCTTCATTTGGGACTTGCTGTAAACCACGCTGAGTTTGCTTAGTGGATGAGATAATACTTGGTACTGCTAGCGAGCTGTCTCTGAACAATGTGCAAAGCAAGCTCTGACATACACGAAGCAAAAATCTGTGTGCTCATGAGAAAAAGAGCTTTCTCCTGTGTTGCACTTGGAATATGGTAGTTGGCTTATTGACCTGTCAGATCTCATTTACGTCTATCAAAATGGGTTGTAAAGACATGTGCTGTGCTTAGCCTTATCTGAGTCTGAGTGTTTCTAGGATTCTTCATATTTCCAAGTATGTGATCTGAAGTTAAAAAAACAGTGAAGTGTCCTGCTTTTGGGTTTAAAGATCATCTCTGAAATTCAGCAAGGTTTCTTCCTCTTGTGTAGCTTTATGCAACTGGGATGATGTGTATGGTGGTGGTTTTTTCACCTTGATTTTTCTCTTTAATCTGCTGCTGTGGCCACTGTTAAAAGAGTATCGGTGTAGCTCAGCTGGGGAGGTACGATCCAGTTTGATAAATTCACATGTAATGCAAACAAAGAATGGCAAGGCTATCTTCAATGCTTTTTGCATGGCACCATGCCAAATATTCTCATAGAGGAAAACATTTAAGTCATCTTCTAAGCTGGGCTCAAATCCGAAGGACTGTGTCAGCAATAACATTGCAGCTGAACACGGGCTCTGTTTTTAATTATAAAACAAGACCCACTACAGATTCTTCTTTCAGGATGCTGTGATTTTTTTGCTGGAAAGATTGCAGTGTTGTGGCTCATGCAGCTTTCCCAGCCCAGCCTCTGTTTTGGAAGGACGGCAAACCTCTCCTGCAGAAGGAACGTGCTTCCAGAGCTGTCCCCAGGCATAGTTTGCTCTCCAGCTTGGCAGGAGCAGAAAGTGAGAGAAATCAAACCAAACCCAGTAATACTGCCTAATTGGGATGAGACAGTAACCATGCAGGCACAGGGCAGGCAGGAGCTTCAGGGAACTGGGCTAAGCAACAGGTTGTTTCTCATCTGGTTGCTTGGCAGTTGGACAAGATTACAACTGCTCTGCATTGCCATGCTGTAAAGTACGTTGAAGGTGGTAGAAATTGTGGCATCACCCCTTGGCTGCTGCTGATGGGAATTTAACTGCTGAGGTATTAAGTTGTTCAGGGTGGATAGGGGAAAAAAGCATGGTAGTGGTGTTGGCGTTGGTTAAGGGATGAGGAAGGAAAGCATTAAGAAACAGCAAGCTGGTTGCACTGCTGGGCAGTGTCTTGGAGTTCAAAGCTATGCTTGTCCTTTTGTTGCTGAGCCAGCAAGACCTACGAGGTTTAGAGGCAAGACAGGCAGCTTTTAGGGAACAGATGACTTGCTGCTTTGCTGGTAGCACTTAAGGTCATGGAAGTACGTACAAGAGAAGGGGAATTGGTCAAAAAATAGAAAAAGGAGGAAAGACGTAGGAAACCCCTTTTTGGGGATGGTTTTAGGGTCATAGGTTCTTAGCACTGATGCAGACTGTTTCCTCAAAAACAGTAAAACTGCCCACTCCTATGCTTGTTTTTTCAGGCAGTACTTGAAAATTGTTTGAGTCATGTTTGTCACAGAGCTGGCAATTGTAAGAATAAAACAATGGATATCCACATATGTTTGGGCAATCCCTGTATTCTAAGGTATTAATAATTTGGTTCCGTGGAGCAAAAATGCTGGTGAGACCATTCTTGTAGCTCTGCTAAGCGATTGCTGGCCCAGCAGCATTTTTCAGTCCTGTCCACAAAAATGCAGTGCAGCACTGAAATAATAAGCTTTTGTGTGTGTCAGAGGTGGGATGTCAGATCTTGGCAGAGAAAGATTTCAATTTCAAGCTTGAGAGAACTTTCTTTCCAAAAAACTGCTTTGCATCTCCCAGGAACAAAAGAAGGGAAAGAAATGAAAGGGCCTCAGGGTGGGTATTGCAAGTAGGATTAATTGTTCCTTCCATCAAGATGCAACACAGGAAAGTATCGTTAGGGGGAGTTGACAGTTTCCTTTGTCTGAAACATGGACTTCTTGCTTCCAATCGAGATATTAAATGTGCAGTGCTTTTTTTGGAAAACGAAATTGTGTACCCAAGGGAAAGACAGCTGCAGAACATGTCAAGATCTGCTGATTATAAGGAGTTAAAAACTGCCTTTTCCCTTCCGAGTTTAAAAAGCTGGGCTGAGCACCACTGCTTTCCCAGCCTATCCGCCTCAGGCTGTTGTGTTTTCACTAACAGTGTTCATCCGAGCCCTTTAAATCCCTGGGTTTGCCAAGTAATATCAGCAGCAGGTGCAGAATGAAGATTGTGAAACTTGTGCCTGTGGATGTAAAGCACTTGCTTCTTGCCTTACGTTACGCACTCACCAACTGTCCTTTCTCTGAGTTCCTGCCTTGCAAACTCAGTGTTGTCAGCTGCAAATGCTGTTTGACTATTTGTTCTTTTTTTATTATTATTCTCAGGTGTTTTAAGGAACTGGAACCATGACGGACTCCAAATACTTCACAACCAATAAAAAAGGTTAGTGTTAAGCTGGTGTAGTGGATTGGAGGTGGTGGGTGGCTATTTTTACACAGCTTTTTAAACTGCATGCAGAAGAACTTGTGCTTTTCTGTTAGCTCTGTCCCTGTTTTTTGTCTTAATCATCCAGGGAGAAACTTCGAAAGTAGGTCACGTGGTGACAAAAGACAAAACTGATGTCTTTTACAGTTTTGTGATGCACAAAATGACCCAAATTGCTGCTTTTTCAAGGATCAGAGAACAAAACATTAGGATTTCAGTGCAGATCTGGTCAGAGACAGAGTTTTAGTTATGGGCTAACAAGTTCAAGACTGAGGATGGTTGTTCTGTCGGGCATCACAGGACTAAATTGATTGAGAGACATTTAATATTTAAGGTATAAGTGTATATCTCTACATCAAGCTGTTGCAAAGATAATGGGATTTTCTATTGCGGTTTCCTCCAAAGCTGCAGTTCTCCGTTTGACTTTCCCTTGGCTTTACTGTAGGTGTGGTGGTCACCTCACCTGAGGACAAACTGCTGCCCTTAAAAATGGGGAAGAGTGGAAAGGATCTTTGGGGACATTTTAGCCATTCACCTGTTTCAGAGCAGGGCTTGTTCTGCTGAAACTGTCCCAGGCAGATTTTATTTTCTAACCTGTTCTGAAACAAAACACTGTTGCTGACTGCAATTTAAGCCTGATTTTGCTCATCATTCTCCAGTAGATGTGGAAAATAGTTTGCATTAACTTCTCCTTTTCAGAATGGCTGAATGTTTCTGATGAATGCTTGCCAGTAAAAAAACTACAGTGTTGATCTATTTGTTTCATTAAGCTTCAGAATGAGCTCATAAATTAAGCAAATGCAGTTCACATCTTTCTAAGGAACGACTCTATCTGTAAGTTCAGTCCTAAAGGCAGGGCTTTCTGGGAGGGCCGCAAGACACCAGCGGGCATTATCTGAGCCCTAGTGAGCGTGCTGCTGCTTGCTCAGCTCCGTGCCAGAGCACGATCTCAGTGTAACGCGAGCATCTCTTTCTCAGGCAGGAGGTATGATGAGCGGTTGCTGCACTGTGTTCTTCAGAACAGTAACTTTTCTTTTTTGAAGTATCTGTCAGTCTTTTCGTGTCAGGCTCTTCAGTAATTAGTGCTGCTCGTCTGACAAAGTGGCATTGGTGCATAGGAATTGAAGATTAGGGACTAGAATGTATTTTGTCAGAGATATTTTGATATTTGTAATGTGTCCTCAGCCTGTGGCTTCCAGTGGGAACAACTGCTCGCTCTCCTTCCTGGGGAAAGCTGTCTCAGTCGGGAGTGTTATCCTGCTCACACTACTTGCTCTGTCTGGAACAGGCCTGATAAGCAGTCTTTTGTAGGTGTTGCTTTATTTTGCAAACTTGCCTTGTCACTTTTGTGATCCAGCCTGAACTGGCTTTCCATGCAGTAATATCTGGAAGAATTAGTGTTGTGGAAAAGGCTGCTTTGGCAATCTCGGAATCCAGGCAAGCCATGTTATATGCTGCTTTTGTTAGTAGTAGCTCTGTCTTTCTAGCTTGGAAGGAATTTGTTCCAGTGGACTAAATTTGTGCTTTCCTGTTTCTGCTGCTGTGTATCACGGCATTTGGGCTACACTACAGTCTGCTGTTTTCTCATTGCATTCGCAGGAAGCAGGCGATGATGAGCAAAAGTTTAAAAAGTCTGGGCAAAATTCCTAGCTTAGTTCTTTTTCTTGCAGGCATGAATCTGGTGTCTCCAAATATCTTTTCATCCTAGTTATATAATAGTTGCCTCTGAGAAACAGACGCTACAGTGATGTGATTTAATGTTCTAGAAGTGGGAGAGCTGCAACATGCAGCGTGGTTCTTGTTAACTGCTTTTTTGTTAGCAAGGTATAGCCCATATCATTCTCTTGAGTGTCGCAGCTTTGCTTCTCACTGAACCATGTTCTCCATAAGGTGTGACAGCTTTCACATGCTGCTGTATCAGTTTTATGGGAACAACAGGCCAGGAAAGTAAGAAGTCACTCTTGAACTATCCCTAAAGCGAGACCCTTTTCTTCTTCCAAGAGGCTCAATCTGTTTTATCTTCTGCCAGGAGAGATTTTTGAACTGAAGGCTGAACTTAATAATGAAAAGAAAGAGAAGAGGAAAGAAGCTGTAAAGAAGGTTATTGCAGCCATGACCGTGGGGAAGGATGTCAGGTAAAAGCAACTTTTCTTGTAGCTGTAGCAGCTCTGGTTGTCCTGGGACTCAGTCGCGTGTAGTGGGCATACATCTCCATGGAACAGCTCTGAGTGTGTCATCTCAGTGTGGCTGGATAGTGAGGCTGGCTGTGTCCTTGCCTGTGCTGTGCTTGAGTCACAGGTTTCTCACGCTCCTTCCTGTGACCGAGAGCAAAAGAAACAACTTGTTTTCAGTGCTGGTTTAGCTAGGTGCCAATAGCTCTTTTTATTTAAAAACCCATCCGGAATTCAATCACTTTGTATGTCGCTTTAGAAGATGTTTTCTCACTGCTTGCTAGCCTCAGTTTTAGTGTTAGAAAGGTAATTCCAAGTGTTTTTCTTAGCCTTACTTGTCATAACATATATTTAAGCTACATTTTAAAACGAGTGTTTTTCAGATTGAATGTTTGCCTCATGGTGACTAAAGGACACAGGCATTTACCTTCTGCAGTGCTGTCCCCAATACTTTTTTCTGTCTTTGAGACAACCAGAAAAACTTGCTTGAGTGAATGCTTTCTCCCTTACAGCTTCTTCTGTTACTGGAGTCTACCATAAAGTTGCAGTAGTCCTGGATTCATGGCACTGTGGTCTGTTGCTACGGAAATTAATATAAGGTTGCAAATTTAGCATCATGACTTCATCATAGAATGAAGGAACAGACAAACTGGAAGGAAGAAAAAATAATCTTTTTGGCCAGCAGCACTTGCCTTTCACCTTTAGATCTCTACAGCATACCTGAGAGCTGCAGAAATCCTTGTGTAACTTGCTGTGTTCTTCTGCAGTGCTGTTTAAAGATTGTTGCTTGATATTTGAGTGAAATTCAGCTTGTCAGCGTTTAAGCTCCTAATCACTCTGGAGCTTACTAGTGTGAAATTTGGCAGGTTCTTTGTAAGTGTCCTGCATTACCAAAACATTTTTAAGCCACTTTTTTTTTCTTGTGGGTTTATTTCCAGGCCTGGCATGGTAGAATTTTGTTGTTTGGTGCACTCCCCAATTAAAACACCTTTAGGAAATTGCATTAGTTTTCACCTGTTACAGAACCAACCTATGTTAAAGCCCTAGAAGAGATTAAATGATTATTATAAAAGCCATTGTGAACTGTTTTGGGAGGGAAGTTGACCTCTCATTAGACAGCAGGGTTCCTAATGTGGAACTTCAGTTTTCCTGGCTTCCTTGATATTGTTACTGTCCCCTTTTCCTACCATGCAATCTCACTACTTTTTCTCTATTCTTGCTTACTGTTGTCAATCCAGCTCACTCTTTCCTGATGTTGTGAACTGCATGCAGACCGACAACCTGGAGTTGAAGAAGCTGGTCTACCTGTACCTGATGAACTACGCCAAAAGTCAGCCAGATATGGCGATCATGGCTGTTAACAGCTTCGTGAAGGTAACTCACACAGCTCATCAGCAAATGGTCCAGCAGAGTGGCTGTCGCCATGTCTCCTTTGTCCGTTAGCCTTTGTGAGCTGTTGTTTATCTCTGCTTTTGTACTTGAGTCTCTGGGCTGGGGGTGCTTGTAGGGGAGCATGCTGAATCCAGTAGGTCTGGGTCCTCCCTCTCACTTGCTGCTGCTAGTTATTGCAGAGGAGATTACTTAAGCGCCCCTGCAAGTGCTTATGAGAGAGCCTGCTCCAGGGAAAGCTGCTTCTATTGTTTTAATAATTGTCATTAAAGACCAACTTCTGGTATTGGATAACAGATTTCTTATTGTTCATCTTCCAGCCTTTGTAGTATCTCTGATTGTCCTGGTTTAAACCCCAGCCAGCAACTAAGCACCATGCAGCTTCTGAGTGCCCCCCCCCAGTGGGATGGGGGAGAGAATTGGGGAAAAAAAAAAAAGTAAAACTCGTGGGTTGAGATAAGAACAGTTTAATAGAACAGAAAGGAAGAAAATAGTAATGGTGATAATAATTACAATAATAAAATGACAATAATAATAATAATAATAAAAGGATTGCAATATACAAGTGATGCACAATGCAATTGCTCACCACTTGCTGACTGATGCCCAGTTAGTTCCTGAGCGGCTATTCCTCCCAGCCCCACTCCCCTGAGTTTATATACTGGGCATGTTGTCACATGGTATGGAATACCCCTTTGGCCAGTTTGGGTCAGCTGTCCTGGCTGTGTCCCCTCCCAGCTTCTTGCGCCCCTCCAGCCTTCTTGCTGGCTGGGCATGAGAAGCTGAAAAATCCTTGACTTAGTACAAACACTACTTAGCAACAACTGAAAACATCAGTGTGTTATCAACATTCTTCTCATACTGAACCCAAAACATAACACTATACCAGCTACTAGGAAGACAATTAACTCTATCCCAGCCGAAACCAGGACACTGATATATGGATATCTACTTCTTGTTTGAATGTTTCAACTGTGCTCTGTGTCGAAAACCTTTATCTCTGGTGAAACTGGAGGACAACTCACTGGAAAAATAACAGCCTGATCGCTGTAATGCCTTTAATTCTGTTGTCAAGTTGCCTTTCCTTGTCTAGGAAGTGTTATTTCAGTCCCACGTTATGTAAGTTAAAACCTGGTGCTTAGAAAAAGTTTGAGACTCCTCCTAGAGTATTATAAAATCTGAGACATTGGGGAATCTCATCATGTTTTAAGTTTCTGTTGGGGTGCCTGAGGCTGAAAGAGGTGAGAAGACCTACCTAGGCTAAGAGCAGGTCTGCTCTTCTGGCCAAAGATGATGTCCTATCTTGCTCTCTGGAAAGAATATCATTGTCTGTCATATCTTCAAAGTGTAAATCTGTTAGAATGGACTAACAAACAAAAATGATATTTTCCAGCTTCATACTTTTCTGTGCAAGGGAATGTCTGATGTCCCTTTTGGCAAGTTGAGGGACAACTGTTAGTAGAGAAAGTGTTGACGCTACTCTGCATTAGCTCAGCACTTCATGTGCAGTTCACAGTTCAAGGTGTTGAATACACTGGTAAGACATGTCACTTCTCTTGTATGATTTAGAAGTGATGCATTCAGGTGTTTTTTCAGCTGTAGGAAATTTAAACAGTGCAAGGTAAATGTAGCATAGGCTTTTGTAGGTCATTCTGCAGCCATCTTTTTATAGGCTGATTTTGGAGGAGCATTGCTCAGAGGTGCAGATGGATTGGATGTATGGAAAATTATGTAGTCTTGAAGTATGAAATGTTGTATTCCCTTCTGCTTTTTCTTTTTCCTCATCAGAAAGCACCTCTAGACTAGCCTTTGCTTAGTGCTTCATATGTTGCAAACTTAAGGGATGCTTGTGTCTAGAACTGATGGCCTGTGAGAAATAGGCCTTGACTGTTGCATTGTGTTTAGTTGTTGACTTTTCCCGTTATATTTTCTTGCTCCTTCAAACCAGTAAGGCTGGAAACCAGTATATTACTTTGTCTGAAAGTTGCCTGTCGCTAGCTTTTGGGTGGTGAGAGCTGCCTTTCTAGCTTAGCTGTAGCTGCTAGATCGTGTTGAAGAATCTTTGCCTGGGAGAACCAAAGGGACACTGAGATCACAATTTTACAAGCTATCATAGCCTGAAAACATCCTGAGATAATGTAGAATGTTTTTGTGAATGAGTAAGTTCCACCTTTTATCCCTGATCTGAAATAATTGCCTCTTTTTAGCATGTAAGCAGAGAGAATCTTCTTGCTTTAAATAAGAACAGCCTGATTCTGGCTGCAGGGAAGGTATCAGTGGCTAGTGGTGCAGATTTGTTTACTGCATATTCTGTCCCATTGCAGGACTGTGAAGACCCAAACCCTCTCATCCGTGCTCTCGCCGTCCGTACGATGGGATGCATCAGGGTTGACAAGATCACTGAGTATTTGTGTGAGCCTCTTCGCAAGTGTCTGAAGGATGAAGACCCGTATGTACGAAAGACTGCAGCTGTCTGTGTGGCGAAGCTGCATGACATCAATGCCCAGATGGTGGAGGACCAAGGATTTCTGGATTCACTGCGTGACCTGATTGCAGACTCCAATCCCATGGTAATGTATATGTCCTTCCAGCGAATTGCTTGAGTTTGTAATGGGAAGATAATCAGAAACGCAAAGGCTTTTTAATTGCAACTGGTGCACTGTGATGAATGCATTGCTTAGAGAACACTTGTTGCCTCAGAAAACAGGAAATACTTTCTATTCTTGGATCTGTTTTGGCTTTTGCCTGTTTTGCCTGTCTTGAGTGCTGCAGCAAAAGTTCAACTTCCAGGTCAGATGAATCAGAAGAGCAAGAAATACTTGATGCTACTACCTTCATCACAGCTTGTAGCTATTGTTTTCCTGCAGGGTTTGGCTTTTCTTGGAGTAAGAGGTTGGATTAGTTCATTCACTAATGCAGATAAATCCACTGGTCTGTAATGAGTGGAGATAAATCAATGCTTATGTTTTTAAAAAAGTTAACTGAGTCATCAGAGCAGAGGTGGAGATCAAGACCAAGAATTTCACAGGAGTACATTACCTACTAAATCAGTATTTCATCACGGTTGATGAAGGGTCCATTTCCACGCCAGGCATCTTCCACTATTACTTTGTAACTAAAAGATTGTGGCTGATGGATTGAAGTGCCCCACTGCGTAATCCTTTCATTCAATATTTTTTCCTGTGATCTACTAGAATCCAGTGAGCATACTGATAATCGTTGTAACTCTTAGCAGGGAAGAAAACTTGTGCAATTCAGTTTAACTCAGAGTTTAAGGATTTGACTGCTATTTTTTAGCTCTTTTAGAGCACAGATCTGATTTGTCTCCACTTAAAGACATAATTTCATATTAGTGCAGGTCTAACAGCTCTTTCTATGGTGCATGAAACCACATAAAGCAAATTGCTGTCCTGTTATAGCTGTCTTTGGGCAGGTTTGGATAAACAAGGTGCAGGTGGTAAGGTACCATCCCCTTTAGTAGGAGGGTGAAGACTGCTGATTGCTTTTCTTATGGCTTTCTAGAGACAGTAAAACTAAGTGTCTGACTTTCACAAGCACAAGTCTGAGCGGTGGTGCCTATCAGAAGATATAGGTGCCTATTGATTCTGATATCCAGCTCTTACAAGCTGTTCTTTTTGTATGCCTCCCTGATTTATTTTTTTTATGCCAGGTTTCTGCATGAATATTGATGACCACTTGAAGATGTTCTGTCTGTCTAGGCAATTTTGAGGCATGTAGGGGAACACCTGCTTTTTTAATTTAATGTTGAGGGTGTGCCTTGCAGCCTCTGAAAGTACTTGATGGGGCTGCTTTAGTTCCACATAAATGCTGGCCCCTGGCATTCACTAGCTCACAGGCAGCAATGGAGTGCGCTGTGGACAGGGATATAAGCTACTCTTCTAGCCTTGGTTCCAACTCTTTAATTTTCTTCTGCTGATTACAGCCACATGGATATGAGTTGAGGAGCTCAGGCTGAAAAGATGTGGTACTTCAGGAGAAATTAATAAGGTTTTGCTTGCCCTTTCTGCTTGTTGATCTGTGTGGAACTAACTGTTTTGGTAAGTGAACCACTGGCTGTTATGAAAGCACCAATATCTATTTCAAAAGTACATTAACTTAATACTGACTTAAATGAATGGGGAGAAGAGGATAAATACCAAAGGGCAGTGTATGCTCCATTTGCTAAATAAACCACCAAAAGTAGTATAGGGATTCCTAAAAAAACAACAGTACAACTACTGACCTTCTTGATGGTGATGAGGTTGGACTGGGACAGCAAAACCTCTGCAGCTGCTGCAATTGATTGCAGCTCTACAACTACTGAAGCTGTGCAGGATTACAGCACCTGCCTCATGTTGTACTCACCTGCTCTTCCCGAAGCTGAGGATTCACAGCAAGAGAATGCAATTTGGAGGAGTAATGGTGATGGAGAGGCCTGTGGTGTGTCTTCAGATCTGCAGACTTTGAGAGGATCATGTGGCTGGTGTTCAGTGTACTGTTTTCCCAGGTTTTACTGTAGACAGGGCATTACATTCTTGCTTTTTAAGGGAGCATGGGGAGAGATTTTATCAGGTTTGGGGCTCTTATAGCTGCTGACTTAATACAATATTTAATCTGGTTACAATTTTTAGCAGATACAGACATTCCTTCTAGTTAAGTTTATCACTTTGGTCCCCTTTGAAATTCACGCCTTTGTGGCACAGTGATTCCCTCAAAAGTACAGGAGCTATCCACCCCTAATTAAGGTTCATGTTCCTAGTCAAAACATCCAGCTCATTGCTGCTTTCTCCATGTGAAACTCCAGTGGGGGTTCCTGATGGCCAGGAGTTGTGTTTGCCAGATAAGTTACATTTGTGTGCAAGTTGATATTAAGGTATTTCTCCATGATCAGGTAGAATGCATCCCTGCCTGGAAGCTCTTTTTCAGTAAAATATATGTATCAGTATTGGCTATCAAAAGAAAGATTACTGAAAAGAATGGTACAGATGGATCTACCCTTATGGCCTATTCCTCTGTAAATGATACATCTCAATCATTGCAACCTGTTATCTAAACTCATTCATATTTATATTAAAAATGTTTCTCCTCTTTTGATGACTTGTGGAAATAGGCAACATTAGACACTTAATGAAGCAGAATTTTGTAGACAGGAAACCCACACTTGTTCTGTCTTCTGAGAAATGAGGATTTTGAGCAGGAGCTAAAAAACTCCTGTTGAAAAATAGTCTTCATGAAGGGTTTTATTATGGTTTTGTAATTGGCTGCCTCTAGCACATGAGCAAGCACTAAACATTCTAGCTGGGTAGAGTAACAACTCCATCTGTGGCTTGCTAATTGCCTTGTAATTGTGCAGAGATCAGGATGTGTGTTTCTATCAGCTCAAATCACCCTTATCATAACAATGTCTAAGTTGGAGGTGACCTTGTCAAAAACATTTTGGGTTTGGGTTGGGGTTTTTTGTATTTTTTGTCCAATAATTTGTCACAGAATCGTGCAAACAGATTGGGGATGTTCAGGGAATTGCTTTGAAGTCCTGTTAAGGTGCTGTAGGTGCACAGCCAAGGTGCTTTCCCCCTTTATCTGGGCTTTTTGTTGTCAGGATTTGGCCTTTGTTCAAATACAGTAATACAGTGATCTTTTGAACAGTTGTAGGATTGCACCTTTCCAGATGAGCTGGTTGTAGTTGTGACTAAAGGACTGACACCTGAGTCTGGTAGTTCACTAGCTTTTTCTGAAAAATCTCTGTTGTAGCTTTGCAGTTTCTCCTGGATGAATTAATTCAAAACTCTAATTGCGTATGTACTGATATGGATATATATGGCAAGTTACCAGATGGGTTGGTGGCTTACTACATTTCAGCTGAGTTATATGAGATGTCTTAGCTTGTGCAGGCAATGGGCCAATAACGCATACAAGGGCATGGTTCAGTTATTGGGTGGTTACATTGCAGAAGTTTGATTGTGGAAAGAGTCTTTAATCTCATTTTACAGATGGGCCTGAAGTGCTTGTGGCTGCTCTTCGTCACTTGGGATCCTGCCGAAGAGTTTCCCTCCATAGAGGGAACGCTCATTTCTTCCTGGATTTGTATTAAGGCAAACCCTTCTCCTTTTTTGCTGTGCATTTCCTTACATGAAGCTCAGCAGAACCAGGTCTGGATGAATATAAAGTTTGGGCCTGGCTGCTTTGGGCTGTCAGTGTGCTGCAGCTGGACTTAAGTCCTCAGGGCCTTTCTTGCTGGTACCTTTGGTATAGTGCAACTCAGAAGGCATGTCCTCCCATAATCCTCATGTTCTAACAAAATACGATTTCAGTATGATGTCCCAGGATTTTGTGTACTGGTGCTTGTACACAGGATGGCAGCTTACTGTAGAATGCCTTTCATACCCAGCAACAGCAGCAGATAATAGTGGAATGAGAGAGGTAGGTCTGTTACACACCTACTGATGGCCAGAGTCTCTCTGAAGTCTTGGACAAACTTTTTTTTTTCTTTTTCCTGATACTGTCTTGTTCTGACGTTTGTGAATCGGACCTAATGACGGCTCATCGTTGGAGCCTTGCCGAGTGCTGAGTCCTGGTGATGAAGAGCAAGACCACGAGATGGCAGCAGTTTAAAGCAGAACCAAAGCTGTTGATCACTAGACACCTTATTTTGTAACTAGTTCCTTCCTGGCTTTTAGCACTGCGTTTGGTTTTCTTCAGGAACGTAAATATTAGCAGAAAAACCTAAGAGGAAATCCATCTTAAGTCTTACTGGTCTTTTAATATTTGAATGGAACAACCTTTCTTTCCAAATATTTTCAATCCTTGAGCTTCTAGGGTAGCTTTTAAGTCATGGAATAGTTTTCTTGTCAATCTACCTGTTATCCACATGGCTTAAGTTAGGTTCATGTCACCTTCTCCCAGTTCTTTTCTAGGTGGTGTTGGGTTTTTAATTCCTTCTTGTAGCATTTCTTCGTCTTCATATTCTGCTTTGTCACTGTGATGTGCTGGATCAAAGCTTTCACAGGTGTGGCTGTTCTGCTCCCGTGGTTTTGTGGTGTGTATAGACACATGCTGTCCAATAATATGTCATGTTTTACACCATCTACACGTCACAGTTTATTGGGAGAAACACTGTTGTGAATCAATACCGAGTAAACTGAGATCACATAAGAAGCTGATTAGTAAATACACCAAGTGTGTGGAATATAATTAAACTCTTTTGTTGTGCCTGAAGGTTTTTTTGCCTTTAGCATTAACCTGCACTAAGAAGGGAATCTATTGAGATCTGACAACTAGAGGTGATGAGGTCCCTCTTGATCTAATCAGAATTCCTTCTGGCAGTACTGAGTTTCTGTAGTTCACAGACTAGACTAAAAACCTGTTGATATAAATCATAGTGCTCTCTTGTCTCTCCTGCTGAGACTGCAAGCCATGTAGGTTCCTCCTCTGCCAACCAGAACTTCAGAGTGTATGTTTGGGCTTCCTGGATGGCCTTATGGAGGAAGAAGGTCCACCTTTTGTTCTTTTTTCTACTAGCTGGCAAGCAGTATGTCTTTCTGAGATTGTGTCCTGAGCAACAAGCTTGTTT